CTAACACTCAAGTGTCGTCTACAGTAAGACTCGGGTTAGACAACATGTCACAGAAACCTGTCAGACAAATCAGTAGATCTTTGTACAACAACTCTCCAGTGATGCTTAAAGAGATAATCATCAGAAACCACAGTGAGCATCAGAGCTGATCTCATCGTGTCCTCACAACTCAAACTACCTGAAGTCTTTAAATGGATTTCATTTGAAGTTCTTAAAGTCTGAACAGCAGCTGCAGCAGAGTGTAACAGCTACAGGCTTCATGTGTCCCCTGCAGTCCTCCTCTTCAGTGTCAGCGGTGTGTTTGAGGACGGTTGGACATTGCGGCGTCAGTGTGGGCTCAGCAGTATAAACGGTGACAGCGAGCGCGGCTGAAACATGATGATTCCCCTGCAGGTGGATGAATAATGGACGACCTGCAGCTGCAGCCGGCCGAACACACTTAGCTCCGGTCTGCTTCGGCAGCAGAACACGAGCAAAAACATTTGGAAACGTAACTTGACTTTTGAGTGCAGAGACGACGCGCGCACTTTAGTTTCTGTGATTCAATTTAAGACCGAAATGATTCGACGCAATCGCTCAGAAACTATTTTAATAATTTAAAATCAACTTTAAATTGATTTACTGCCTCAAAGCTTCCAGTTCCATCTCATCAAAGGTGAATTATTTGAAATGTCTTGGTCTGCTGTGACAGTGATATAAATATATTTTTGTTCAGTCAGTATGTAATTTATTTATTTGATATTTTTTTATAAATGTGACATCACAGAGTGAATAAAGACGCCATGAAATCAACAAACATCAAAGAATCAGCTGCAGAATGAAACTAAACTGCAGCCTTTAAACTGAGGCTCAGGTGAACACATTCAAGGAGCACAGATGGCCTAGCGGTTACGTTGAGCACCGCATGTACAGAGGCTATAGTCCCCATTGTATTGCATCCTGTCTCTCTTCAGCTGTCCTCTCTAATAAAGGCCAAAAAAATCACTTGTGGAAACATTCAAATGAAACTCAAAACTTACAGAAGTTTAACTTCCTAAATCAGAACTTCTGACTCCAGAGATTTGAAAGGTGCTGAAGTTTTGGCCATTTCTGTTTAATCTTCAAAATGTTCTTTTTTAATCGCTAAATTACAAACCATTATGTTGAGGAACAACATCAGGTCGGCTGTTAAACTCTGAATATCGAGTTTAAAATGTAAAGTAAATGAGCAAAAGAGAAAGAACGCTCCGATCAGGTCGGACAGAATCAGGGAAATTAAGACGGCTTCACACGAGACCATTTTATAATCTTAACCGATTTTTAAAAACTGTGGGAGAGCACAGACATGAGGACAGTTAATAATCCTCTGAACGCACACGAGATCTCGTAGAATCTCGCGTGATCAAACTTGACTTCAGCAGAACAAAAATGGAGGACGATCAACGTCATCAGATGCTTTCCTGTTTGTTCTGTTTTGAAGAAATCCTGGATTAGAAGACGGTGTAGACGCGGCTGTTACACATGGCAACGTGAGCTGAAGCTGAGCTGTAGAAGAACGCAACATCCGGTTGATGACGCTGCTCGCTCTCATTGGCTGTTGTGGAGGCAGCCATGACTATCAAACGTGACTATGATACCAGATCAGGAGCCTCTGACTCAATAGGGAGCAGTAAAAGAATTGTATTGACACCACACACTTGAGGATTATTTAGACAAAGAACGTCGAAACAAGACGCACTGACACGGTCTTGGGTTTGGGCAAATTGGACCCAAAATCATCCAGGCTCAAACAGTCCCTCTGCACCTTTAAGAAAAAGCTAAAGACCCAGCTCTTTCATGAATACCTACTAACTTAATGATGATGGTCTCCATATTATTGATGATGATGATGGTAATGACGATGGTTTTTGTTTGATAACAACGACTTATAAGATGGTTTCTATACTGATTAGAGCTCTCAAGAACTGCCCTCAATGTTGTGCTTTGCCTCTGGTCACTTCCTGTCAGCACCTGTGTGTCCAATCAGACTCAAAGCTGATCGTTTGCTCTTACTCACATTGTTCCTTTTTTCTAGATCCTTGCTTGTGTTGTTCTTACTCTCTGATGTACGTCGCTTTGGATAAAAGTGTCTGCTAAGAGAATCGTAGATCATGGAGGTAATAAACCTCTCTGCTGTCATTTGATACTTTTTGCATCCTTTCAGTTTAGGGTGCAGAAATGTAAAAACCTTTTGCACCCTCATAGAAACGGGCCTCAAATTGTCCAGAGGTATCAGCCCTATTTGGCCTTTTTCACCTTTATATGTAATTTATTGAATCAGCTGTTTTGTCTTCTGTCTCACTTTGAGTCTGACATTTAAGTTTGAAGAACGAGGCTCTAAATAAGTGACATGAGGTGAGCTCACACCTTCATCTCTGCTGACATCAGACAGACAGACATTTCACTGATGACTTCATAGTTCAGAGACATTGTGACGTCACAGATCGTGTCTGTAAACCAGCAGGGAGAGAGGTCGAGCCTCGGTCAGCTGTCAGCGTTTTATCTCCCGACAGGATCTGTCAGGTATCTTTACAGTGAACACTCAGAGCTTCTGTTCTTTTCTCTTTAATCTGTCACACCGTGAATTCAGACCTTCAGATGATTTTCACACAGAAACTGTCTGACAGCAGATCCTGTTCCACCTGCAGCACGGTGTGGATCAGCTGACAGACACACAAAGAGCAGCAGAGGGTTTTGATTTCACTCACTTGTGTTTGGCGAACTCGTCCTGCAGCAGAGCCACGTAGTTGGCCGGGATGAGTCCGGACTGCAGGGATCCGGTCAGCTTCTTGGCCAGCACGTACTCCCCCCGTTTCTCGATCACCGACAGCTTGTCCCCCTCCTTCACCGTCAGCTCGTCGTCGCTTCGGGCCTCGAAGTCGAAGAGCGCGGCGTACAGCTGCACCGGCCGCTTCTTGGGCGACGGGACGCGGATGTCCCCGGACACGGTGCGGATCTCCGCCGCCTGCGCCGCCGGGTTCGCGATCACATGGTTGTTGTTGGGAACGTTTGGGTAGTGGACGTCCGGCCAAATGCAGTTCCACAGCCGGCTTAGACACGGCATACAGGAGCGACAGCAGCTCTCCATCCCGGGACATGAAGGAGCGCGGCGCACTCACCGATCAATACGTCGCGCTTCAGACTCTCTCGGTCCGCTGAAAAACGGCTTCTCACCGCCTGACGTGTCCAGCCGCTCAGCCCTGAGGTTCCCCTGTCCTCCTCCGGCTGGAAACATAACGCACCGACAGTCAGCAGAGAGGCTCGATCAGCCGGAGGAACCGGTTTTTTTCTTCCGTTCACATCATGGATCTGAGCTCCACGCCTGCAGTGCGCACGGCGGCGTCGGGAATGCGGAAACGGGAATGGAGGGCATCCAAGTCGGATCTGTTCCCCGCGAGGACTCGGCGACGCGACCCAGGTTGAACCGAGCACGCGAGCATGGCTCTCCCCCCCCAACAAAATGTTAATCCATCGTGATCCGGTGTAAAGAAAAGCAAACACTGCAGAGGTGTGTTTATCTGCAGAGAGATGGACAGGTGGAGGTGAGGCGGCCGCACGGTGCGTAAAAAAGTTTGGGTTTTGGCGCTCCGCTCATCTCCTGCTGCTCACACACCTGCGCACTGAGGGGGGAGGAGTCTGAGGAGGGAGAGAGAGAGAGAGAGAGAGAGAGAGAGAGAGAGAGAGAGAGAGAGAGAGAGAGAGAGAGAGAGAGAGAGAGTATTGTGCAATGTGTGTGTGTGTGTGTGTGTTTCTGCCTCTAACTAAACACCCCTGGAGGTCACACAGAAGCAGCAGATGATGGAGTTTGTTTGCTCAACAATAATTTTCACCAGACTGCCAAATGTCAAGTCTTCTCCTTCCCTCCCTGTTACTCTGTCTGACGTCAGAGGAAGAGGATGAGGGCCATAACATGTTTAAAACTCAGAATTACGATAAGATACTTTTTCAGGCCCTTCAGTTAGAAAAAAGATAAAAAATAGCATTTTGAAGAGGAAAGATAACAAACAGAGCACAATAAAAACCACAGTGTTCATGTTGCAGCAGATTTCCAGTGCAGGCGAGTTTCATGATATAAAACAGTCACATCCAGGGTTACATCCTGGTCATGCTTTACTTTAAACACATTTTATTTGAATTTCCTCTTTCTTGAATTGACATCTTTTCATACGGAGGCCCTAAGCGGCCATGCATCGATACGGTTTATTTTGCTCTGTTTTCCAGTGATAGAGTTCATTTCTGTTGTGCTCTCGAGATCTAGACTTGAACCCCTCAGTCACCTTCAGATGAATCAAACATGATGATATGCACGAGTCTGTATGATCAGGATGACTTGAACTTTATTCCTGCAGAGTGTGAGGTGAGGAAAACTTTATTTTTCATTCTTTATGTCCTCTGGCTTTGTGTTTGTAGACAGTGGAGAGTCTAATGACTGCAGCACCCCCTCCCCCCTTCCCCCTCTGTGCTTTACCTCCTGCATCAGTTCTGCATCATTACTGCAAAAACAGAGCACCAGATTCATAATTTACACCACCTCCAACCAGAACAAAGACCCAGGATCCACTACAGACCACATACTGACGATGCAAACTTCTTCTTCAACCTCAAACATCTTCTAAATACTGAAGAGCTCAGACTGATTGATCAAAAGTGATTCAATTATGAGCTGTCATTTAGCACCGTGTGTGTGATTGCACGGGATGGGTCTCACGTTGTCTGGGGTTCAGATGATGTCGTAAATCTTCAGCCTGCAGGTGAATCCACATGATGAGCTCTTCCTCTCTCTCTCTTCAGCTCTGCACGCCCGCTCAGCCACGCTGCTGAAAATGATGTTGTTACTGAGCAGCAAACAGCCCTCACTGAGAGATTTATCGTGCTGCCACCAGTTGATTTACGGCTCCTGCAGTCAATGTTTTTTATGTGCAGGGAACAAATATGACGTCCGTTAGAGAGAAAAACAAACAAAAGCAGCAAGAACCCCGAGTTTAAAGGAGAAGTCTGCTGATTCTGAGAAGAAGTCGATTTATTAGTTTGTGTTTGAGTTAAGGCTCTTTGTGTTGGGATCGGTTGTATCTCACCTCTTGGAGTGTCGTTATCTGTGGATGGTTCATGTTTGTTTTTTTTAACCCTCAGGCATCAGTTTAATTTACGACCTTCTTAAGTCACTAAGGACAGAAATGTCCACTTACAAAAAACTGATCTAAAAATAGAACAGATTGATATTTTCTTCTACTTTTTTTTGCATAAATCTCTTAAACAACTCCAGCCCTGCTCAAAACTACCAAACATTGAATAATTATCAGGAATTTAACCCTTAAAAAGCCAGAATCATGTAATCAAACTGGCATTTAAAGTGTTAAATTCCTCATAATTAACCTTTAAATCCTCTGTGAAAAGCTGATCCTCATACAGAAACCTGCAGCTCTGCAGAGAGTCTCACATGTCCTCAGAGCTGGAAACGTTTGAAGACTCAAAACTGGTTCAAATCCAACATGAAAGCGTTTCACTCCGAGAGCTCTAATCTTAATCTCTCAGTTAGAAATGCAGCTTTAAGTCTGTGAAAAGCTCCGTTTTCTCACCGTACACGTTGACTCTGAGCCGCGGTTACATCCGAGACGTGTGACGAGGAGGAGTCTGCACATCGCTGACCAGTCGGAGCGAAGGAAGCAAGATTTTAACAGCTCAGTGACAAAATACTGCAGTGAGAGGGAAACAGTGACAGGAGCTTTTATAGAAGTGAACAGAGGGATGCAAATCTCAGACAGGAAGCTGACAAGGTTTTAGAATTCTTAAAGGTGACATAATATAAAAAATCCACTTTTAGTGCTTTTGAACATTTATCTGGGTAACCTGAGAGTCTACTGACCCACAACATGTGAAATAAACCCATCCAGTCCTTTGTTTGTGGTCTGCATAAGTCTTACAACACAGAGAAAAATGCTCTGTTTCAAATGTGCTCTCCTTGTGATGTCACAGTGGGATTCTGGTAAAAAACAAACCCTCCCCTCCCCTCCCCTGATATCTCCACCCATGGACTCCACCCCCAGACTAGAACAAAAATTTAGAGCAGGTCGGTCATTTTTATTCTCTCTACAGAGGAGTGATGTCAACGGGGAAAACTCAGGGGGGGGGTCATTGCATTTAAAGAGACACACACACCAAAACGGAGCGTTCTGAGAGAGCTGGTTTATACAGGGTCACAAACCTCCTCTGGTGCTTGATTCATGTTATATTTTGACCAAAGCACAGCACAGATGTTTCATTTAGACCAGGGGTTCCCAAACTTTTCAGGTCGTGACAGAAACTGGGGACCCCCCCCCCACTGTTCTTTAAGGTGGTTCGTTAGGTATATAACGTAGCGACAGCCACGCACACACTAATAAACCTATCCAAAAACTAGGAACACAAAATAATAAAACAGCCTAAAAACAATAAAAATTTACACATTAATTTCACTTAATGATACTATGTCTTATATGACATTAGACTACTTTTTGTATATTTACAAAAATGGGTAAAAAAAAAAAAAATACTTTAAATGATTTTTTATTTTTTATGGAAGGCATCTTGCGACCCCCCCTCTTAGTGACTGGCGACCCCCCTTAGACCACAGGGGGGCTGTTTGAAAAGGTGGAGGAGGGGGATAATATGTCCCCTTTAAACATTTGAAGTTTGGATCAGTTTTACTTCTCTTTCACTCTTCAGGTTCCTCGGGTGCTCGGTGACCTCATCGTGAACACTGAGACTATCAGGATCTGTAAGAAGTGCAGCGTCTAATGGAGACTAGAAGACATTCTGTAAATCTTTAAGAATAAGAATAATGTATGAGACATTTAGAGCGCTTTTCTGAATACTCAAAGAAGCTTACTCACTGGAAGGGTCTTAAAGGGCCGGAGCCATTTCTGCATTTCTACACAAAAACCTGAAAATGTTACTCTAGTGATTGAAAGACTTCTTATTTCTGGAGGAGACAGAAAATGTTCACACATCAGCTCAATGAAGACGCCGTGCTCAGTTTGATAGATAGCACACTGTTTTTATTAGTATATTTAGCTTTGTGACGTACAGCTCGGGAGAAAAAAAAAACAAAATGGTCACAATTCTTTTTTTTTTTTTTTAAATCCAGAAACATTTCAGCCTTAGCAGTGACATCACACAAAAGAAAGCTCAGTTTTTTTCCATCATTGGTTTCTTTGTCATGGACCAGAGTGATATGTTCTCGTTGGCGGGGCTAAACAAACGCGCCCGTACCGCTCCAACGGAGTCAACAAACAAACAAACAAACAAAAAAATAATCATAACCCTAGTTTTCTTTTTTTTTGTCTCTTTTTTTTTTCCTCGATCATTTTAAGTTGCTTCACATATATTATCAACACTTTTCTAAAGAATCAAAATATTCAGCCACAGGTACTGGAAAAAAGGTATCCACTGTTATATATAAGAACACAATAAATATAAAAAGAATTTCTGATAGAATTTATAATGTATCAAAGAGAGGGGAATGGGCCTTCAGTTAGACGGGTTTGTACAAAAAGTGATGTTTTTTTTTTTCTTCCTGAGGTTGAGTTTTTGTCTTCTGCAGTTTAAACTTCTCACTAAATACACTAATAGACTAAAGACCCGACACGCGGGGTCTGTAATGGCTTATCATTCGCTGAGGAATCATCTCCACTGATCCCGCCCACACCGCCGCGGGGGTCCCTGTGGCCCCCGCTGTGATTCTGTGTGCTGTGGAGTTAGCCAAGACGTCACAAAATAAAAGCCCCCCCCTCCCCCACCCACCCGAACAGAGCCAAACGAACACAGAGCTTGTCCCCCCCCCCTCTAAAAAAAAAAAAACAATCTGTAAAGTTTGGGGACTTTTCTGTTTTTTTTATTCCAGCCGCGTCACGACTCTTCACCAAGTACAAACTTTTTATTTACATCCTCCTTTTTAACACAGGTGCAGCTTTAGCACGTCGATGCTAACAAAATGCTAACAACACATTTTCCAAAAGGACGCAGGACCTCTAATCGATTCAAGAGAAAACAAAAAACGATCGTTTGGTGAAGAAAGGTGAGCGACTGGAACTGAAAAAAACACGAGAGTGTCCCCTCGCGTGCTAGGCTAACGTGTGAGATGATGCTAACTGTTTTCAGACGCAGTCCCGTTTCCCTTCAGTGTGTGAGGGGGGATCAACTCAGAACAGGGACGAGAGAGAGAGAGGGAGGGGGGGGAGAGAGAGGAAGGGGGCGAGGGGGGGGGGGTGATAGGGTGAAAAAAACACAAAGAAATCAGAAAGAATTGCAAAAATCTGTACATGTAAACATCACACTTCCACTGAGTCAAATCATGAGGAGAATACAGGTTTCACATTGGTTTAACTGCAGGTACACAGGCCCCGCCCCCTCCTACAGGTACACAGGCCCCGCCCCTCCCCCGCCCCCCCACAATCAAGAGTCCGGTACAAAGTCGGGAGAAGACCGAAAGAAAACAGGAAATAAATTCAGCTGGAAATAAGAAAATAAAGGAATCTAAAGCACCACTGGACAGGAAGAGGAATCAACCAATCAACGGCTCAGGAGGCCGCCGTGTGAAACTTCCTGTCCGGATAGAAAAATAAAAAAGGTCCATTACATTATGT